AGAGAAAGGAAAAATTGAAATGGCATCATATGACCCCTTTAATGTAAGTTTAAATATGAGATGAAAATACAAACAATAAAACAAATATTGTTGGCTTCAGGGTGCAGTAAATGCAAAATATAACACTGTAATGGGTCACATGAACATGAATCAAAACTGACCAAAAATCATTGTTACTTTTTTTACTAAGGTATTTCTCATCATTTATAAAAATATAAGCATCTCATTTTAACGGGCATTCATTTTCTTCTAAAATCTTTTATCTCAAAGGGAGAAATTATCTCTTTTCTTCACTTAATAATGAGGTTCCTTCCACAGGCCTCATACTGCACACATGCTAAAAATACCAAAGCTTACCTAGTCTTCAATCTCCCAGAACTGAACAAATAGCATTACGCATAAGAAAGTCACTGAACCTCAAGGTTTACAATTTACATCAGACATTCGTCCAAGGGATTTTGTCATTCAAAGATTTACATAAGTTTCACCACTCCTTCTGTCCTCCTCGTCCTATTTAAAAATAGAAACAGCTAGTAGGACGGTAGATTAATGGGTGGACCTCCTCCGTTTGCCACTGATGCTGCGGTAGTTGAAAGGTCTCATCTTCATCTCCACAAAAGGGATGGAAAACTCATGGCCTTTCCAGTGATACCAGTTTATACCCTGCAGAAGTCAAACACATAATGTCAATACACAAACAGTCATTTTAACTATGATCTCATTAGCATTCATACTTGATTATTAATCAAATATTCAGGTATTCATACATGAAGAGTGGTTCTAGCACATATACATTGTCATATGCATAGATAGACACCAATATTAAATTGTATTAGCATCTTAAATGAACTCTTATGTTCATACAAGAAGCATACAAATGTTTAAGCATCCAATGTGAGTCAAACAATATTGAATTTGAGGGACAGACAGATATTAAAATCCTAGCCAATACTGATAAGCCAACAATTCATTCCATTTAATTGCCGATAACTCATAAAAATACAACACTAATCACTTGTTTTAAACGCTTATTAAATGAACAGTGTTTCTAAAGATTAGTTTTAAGTGAGAGTAAGATGAAAGCAAGCATGAACAAACATGAACATTTAAATATTGACCAATACCTGTAAAACATGCAATCTCTAACATCAAGTAACTGACATTCAGTATTGTGCAACCTTACTGAATCCATAAGTTAATTTTATGGTCTTGTGATGGAATGGTACAACGAAACCATTTTGTCAATTTCAGTTTTGCCAGAAAAGTCTTAAAGATCTATACAATTTGTATATAAGCTATACATAAGTAAAATGTTTTTAGATGCTGCCAGTATGTTGATAATGTACATTGCAGTATCTATCAAAATACACAAAAACACTTGTGTACAATTTATGTACAACATTTCTGAGCAATTCAGTTTTATTGCCACTGAAATGCTCCACAAAGAACACCTCTCAAAAGAAAATTTTTCTTCTATGAATCTTTATTAGTTTTCAGAGTGTTAACCTCTGCTTTTATGAAAAAAAAAAATACCACAGATACCGATGGGAAATATGACCTTATCGGTTATAATAAGCTACACCAACCCCCTAACGCGTGTGAGAAAGCTGAAATGAAAGCAGACAGTTGAGACAACAGGACATGACACAATGCAATTGAGCAAGGACGGATGTAGACTATTTTCACCATTGGCCTGAGACTCTCACATATCAAGCTTTGTGTACTCAGTTAACTTCGAAATGCTTTTGCATGTTTCCTGTCTTTTCAACACCTGCCCTTGCAAACAAAACCACAAACAATGAGTCACAAAGCAGAAGGCCCTGTAGATGTAAGCTCAAATCGCTGAATTAAGATTGTAATCAAGGTAATAATTTCCTATGAGATTTTTCATGTGTAGGCAGTTTGTGCCTTCTTGTAATTCCATATACTGTATAGGTGGTGGAAACAACCAGTGTATTAAGGTGTTAAGGTCACATTAGGAAAATTTCGGGGGCAAAAAAAGGTCAGTTATCTATCATCAATAGTGTAGCGATCTTTGAAGCACAGCCCACACAGAAGCCACTTTCAAACCAAGCAGCTTTGTGTGGGTCAACATGGTGAATCTGCACAACCAACTTGAACTTGTTGCGAAATCTGCATGGGAAATCTTTCACCCTCACTCGATACTTCCAATCTCTAAGATTCCTATTGAAACAACTGTATTTTGCTCGCCAAATTTGCAGAACATTGATAAATGTGACTGAAATTTAAGGCTAATTATGTAGATATACCAGATTTCAATCCAGTGCTTAAGACTACCTGGCTTACCTGACTATGTCTGGACTCTCCGTATTTGCCGTTAAGGTTGGCCCGATGACAGTTTTTGTACCACCAGGCTCCCTTGTAGGACAATGCACAGTTGGTGACAGCGATATCATTGTCCTTGTCCTTGGTAGAGAAAGGTCTGCTCTGGTGGTAGCTTAGAGAGTCACCTGAAGTAAAACGAGAACATAATTACAACTAATAGGCTTAAATATCCAAAACCACTCTGAAGAGATCATCTCTGGGGTGTTTTAAATGATTAAATGAATCAAAAACAAGTTATTTCCCTATCAGTGTATGTAAAATGAATGCCCAATTGTCCTCCAGCCGCACCTGCAGTGCCATTATACTCTCCTATCCTCAGTTTGTAGAGGCTCTTGGAATCTCCAATGGAAAACCTGTCATAGTTGGCATATACAGACTCCAGGCCATCTTTCATGTCAATGCGGAGCTCGTAACGACCTTGAGCTGCAATCTTCTGAATGTTGTCCAATCCTGCATGGAAAAATGGGGGGAAAAAAAACATGTTCTACCATCCATTCCATCTCACCCCTGTGTTCCAGCCCCTTAACATGTGAAAATGTTGTCTTCAAATATGGTCCACACTGATAAGAGCCCATAATTTAATATAAAAGCGTTGCTCCTGTTTGGTGGTCCATCTCACTTTCTCTGACTCTTATATGTTGTGAAGATAAGTAGCAAAAGACTGTAGATAAACAGCCTGTTTATTGAAGATAATCAAATTTTCTGACTGTGCAGTGGAGAAACGTCTTGTCTGGCTAAAGACACAATCACTTTTTGATAGCGTAGATGACTCCTGATAATAAAACTTCATCCATTTCGTGAGTATCTACACGGATGTGCCGTAACTCTGAACTGTAGCTAAGCACTTAAACTCACTTCAGGATTTAATGCCACAGAATGAACCTGGGAATCAGAAAGGTGGTGAACTGTAACGGTGAGGGGAAGAGATCTGAATTACCAGACATGGTCAAAGAGCATATTTAAAGGCGGCCATTGTTGTAATGAGATTAGTTAAAAAAAAAAAAAAATCCTCATTAAATAGCAGCATGCACACCATTTCTTTTAGTGACCCAATCAGTACAATCTCAGCAAGAGAATGTGTTTTTACTTGATTAAAATCAGCCAGACATCACACAGCATGATATCTAAAATATTATAGAATCATATCACTTTTATCACCATTTTACTGCACTTTAACAGCACACAGCACATTTTTATTATCCCACTGGCACTGATTTAAGCATTAACCTAACAAAATTTTGTTAGATTTATGCTTAAAACAGGAATAGACTATTTTCCAAAGAAACAATCAACATAATAATAATAATAATAATAATAATGATAATAAAAGAATGAGTATAACCAATACAACATACAAAAATAATAATAATAAAAAAAAAAAAATAAATAAAAAAAAACAACAACAAAAAACAAAAACAAATCAAGATATTCTCTGAGAATGATTTTCCTTTTCTTACACAATTTTGCTTCTCAGGTAAATGTACTGCATCAGTGCTTATATATATATGTATATATATATATAATTTACTGTAAAACAAGATAAAAATAATGAGTAACAAAGATTTTTGGGGAGTAAAATGAACCATTTTAAACTATTTTATCACACTGGTTAATGAAGAACAGGCTGTACGCTTCTTATTAGTTTCCAAGCAGAAACTGAAAATATACATAAAATTAGTTCTGTGTCCTCTGAGGAAAAAAACTCTAATTTTCAAATGCATTGCAAAGAAAATAGCTTTTTTTTTTTAAATCAGTTCATGAAGGCTGCATTGAAATCTCCTGGAACAGAATAGTGGAGTCTATTACTTTTCAGAATGACTTTGTGCCTTCTTCCATAACACCATATCTCTATAGTACTGTCCTATTTGCATGGTTGAACTCCAGCCCCATCACCTAAATACACCATTCAGGAGTAACCGAGTGTCATGACCAAATGAGGAACTATAAGGAAAGCCCAAGGACCATGCAGAAGTGAGAAGCACCATGGGAACACAGACGTGCTCTCTACTTTGGAAGCTTGAACGGAGCAGGGCAGCAACTTTTGTGTCTGCCAGGTTGTGTGATTGATGAACAGACAGTGTTTGCGGGGGATGTAGGGCTGTAGTTTGTAGCTAAAAAAGAAAGGTGCATGATCCTTCAGAAATCATTCTAAAATGCTGATTTGGTGTTCAAGAAACATTTCTTATTATTGTCAGTGTTGAAAATGGATGTGCTGCTTAATATTTGTGTGTAAACCATGATTTTTTTTTTCTTTGATTAACAGAAAGTTCAAAGGAAATAAAGTAAAAATCTTTTGTAACATTATAAATGCCTTTACTGTCACTTTTGATCAATTACATTCATCCCTGCTGAATAAAAGTATTAATTTCTAAAAAATAAATAAATAAAATACAATAAAATAAAAAATAATGACCCCAAACTGTTGAATAGTCGGGTATATCAACCCGAAATTTCAGGAAATTCAACCCACAAATAACAGAAAAATAAAACAGCCAGTTGTCATTTTATATGGAACTTGATGGGCACAAACAAAATTAAGATTTTTTAAAAAATGAATAAGTCTGGCACCATTACAAAAACAGCTTCACATTACATAACAGCTAGGTTGAAAAGCCAAAGACACAAGAAGTTGTGATACCATAAATGGCCATAAATAACCTACAGTTAGCAAACATGATACTGAACACTAGATAAGCCCTAACAAGCAATCAAAATCCCAATCCCCTAATATCTTTAAATCAAAGACCTTCTGAAATAGCATAGACTGGGGCAGCATGCCCTTTAAGAAGAGAAGCAGTGAAGGGGTGCTCTTCTTTAATAAGCAGCTGAGAAGAGCAGCATGCCACTTTAATGCAGTACAGCATATGGTCAATACCCGAAGTTTAGGCAACAGCATGTTGCCCTATCCAGATAATAGTTAGCATTAATAACACCTTTATTAGCAAAATCTACATACTGCAAGTTAAGTATCAAGCACATTACCGATACACTGTATAGCTTTAAGCAACAGCATATCACAGACTTAAACACAGCTTGATGGAAATAATCATACATATAGGATGTGTTTAATGAAACAGCATCCTCAATACTAGATGAGCCTTAAGCAGCAAGCCTGTTTCATATCAGACAGTCTTAAACAGATTTAAAAACAAGCCTCAGCTGTGGTAAGTTTAACTGGGTAACGTTAATGTTACCAGTGTGTCAAAATACAACCAATAAGCCTAAAGCAACAGCGTGCCTAACAAACCAACATGTTACTGAACAACTAGCCTTAAACAACGAGCAATATTTGACAATAGCATATTTGCCAACATAGCATGAAGCAATGAGAATGAAATAATAAACTTAGCAAGGAATGCCACGATAGGTGTCGTATTCCTATAGGTAGATGTGATCAGCTGAGAATCAGCTGATGCAAGCTTGACTCACGTGACCTGCCAGAACTAACGCTAACGCTTAATTTCTGTCAGGACCACTATCGTCAAAATGATTGACACTTGACACTCAATTCACAAATGAGCAGCGAGAGCAGCAATAACCCCTTGGGTAAACAGGACAGAACAGAATGCAGATATCATTAATGTTCTTACTGACATTTTAGTGACTGATTCAACAAGGAATATTAGAAAGCCAAGTCCTGACTGTGAAGAAAGGAGGAGTTGGGTATGGAGGAGGGTAATTTGCTCCTGAGCAAGCGATAAAGCTGTTGAATAATACTGAATAGACCTTATACAGGAATGCTGTGATAGCTGTCGTATTCCTATAGGTAGACGTGGATCAGCTGACAGTCAGCTGATGCAAGCTTGACTCACGTAACCTGCCAGAACTAATGCTACGCTTGATTTCTCTCAGGACTACTATCGTCAAAATGATTGACACTTTGCATAGTTTGGAATTGGTGGTATGGTTCAGTTCTGGGTAAAAACTCCCCGATCATCCATGTAGCTTGTCATGAATGAGCAGCGAGAGCAGCAATAACTCCCCAAACAAACCATAGGCTGACACCCCCCAACCACAAACTGATGGCAAATCTGAAAGGAGAAGCATGTCCTTCTGAAACCACAGAGGCTGGGGCAGCATGCCCCTTACAGGAGGAGAGTAGCAGCAAAAGGGGGTGCTCTTCTTTATTAAGTGGCTGAGAAGAGCAGCATGCCCCTTTAATGCAGTACCTGAAAAGAGTAAGCAACAAGCATATGGTCAATACCAGAAGTTTAAGCAACAAGCATGTTGCCCTTACCCAGATGGTGTTTTAGCATTTGAATAACATCCTTTAGTAGTGAAATGTACATACTGTGTGTTAAAGGTGCACTAAGTGATTTTTGAAAAACGCTTTTGACCACTGTGTCGGACCGAGTCCCAAAACAAACTCGCAGTCAATCAGCAGTAAGGGGCGTGTCTAGTAATGATAGGGAGAAGAGCGCACTCAGTGAGTGGTGCACAGGACGGATATTAGCAGATCGACTATAGATAGCGAGAGATGGCAGATAAAAAAAGAGGAACATTTCGGAGGAACAAAACATTAAAAAGTAGGGTTAAGATCAGGCAAGAGGTAGTACCGCGTAAATATTGGAGCAGCTTCCAACAGTCTAGAGAACTCAAGGAGCGGAAGGGAATCGGACGCCGAGATTGCTTTGTTGCTTTGTTTCTTCGAGGTTAATAATACAGAATAGACCTTATAGGAATGCCGTGATAGGCATCGTATTCCAATACGTAGACGTGGATCAGCTGAGAGTCAGCTGATGCAAGCTTATTGACTCAAGTGACCCGCCAGAACTAACACTACGCTTGATTTACATATATTATCCATGCATAAATGTCTGCAGAGGCATAATTTGTAGTGTTTACTTTTTATCTGTAATTGAGGCAATGCTTTGAAATCCGAGCACAAATGCTATTTTTTCCCCTGATTTTTAATGAATATAATTATAGCTTTCTAATAATATTAATGCATCAGGGATAAAAAAGCAAAGGGACTCTATTGTTTTCCATCAAACTGGATTTTGATGAAAATAATTACCATATCATTTAAATAGAATCTGAAAGCTCAGAGTCACCATGACAGACTGAGGGGTCCGGGAAGCACAGAGACCATACAAACACAAGATACTGTATGAGGGAAGGCACATGGAAATTTTCAAAGGATGGTGATTTGATGCAGCCTCACACAGTGCTAGAAGACTTTGTGTTATTTTCATCTTTATTCAGAGCAGCACCACACTGTCTCTCATTTGAAAGTGTGATCCGTATAATTCAAGTAAATAGGCGAGTTATACAGTGTCCCTGAAGCAAGTAAGGGTTGAGTACTAGTATAAAGTTATAAATGGCTTCCCAAAATGCCTATCTAATATTTAAATAAAGAAACCTTCTCATTGCTAGTCAAGATCACTCATCACTGAGTTACATTTCCAGGACTGAAGCTTCAATAAAACTCAGACATTTGCGAGAAAGTGCTGACCAAATTTAGATCAGCCTGAAGAGATTAATGGGGCCTTAAACGAGTATATTTTTTAATGGGTCATCACGTAGCAGCTTTTTTCCCCAGACAGCTCTAACTGCTCTGTCTATAATTCAAGTGTATTTCACGTCTTCTCACCGAGCCAGAATTCATCCTCCAGGTTGCCAAAGCCGATCTTGTAGTCACTCCACTTCCTGGAGAAATCAGTCAAACCGTTCTGACGTCGCTGGAACATCTGAAACACAATTAGCAGAGGTACAGCTGCCACACAACACTCTACACCAATTAAATATAATGCATTTAGGGCAATATTGAGCACATGAATGGCAATTTATCCCAACAGTGTCATTTTACTTTGGGATGATGACATCTGCAAAAGAGGCAGCTGTGTTGACAGTCATGACCAGTAAAGAGCATGTTGAAAAGACCAGAATGGGCAATCACCAGAATGCGTTGTGTTTCAAATACTGGTCTCTGGTGTGGGATGCAGGCAGGGTCCAAAATTTACACTTGTTAGGTGCCAAAGGCAATTATAGATTTTTGCCTATTGGCTGCTAACTTTATTAGGAAAGACAGTATTACATGTTTTAAGTTGAATAGTAAAATCGATAGTCTGACTTTTGCTGATGTAAGTAGCGTTCCGTGGGTATAGAAAAGAATCACCCCCTTTAAAATAGTCACATTTTGTTGCTTTGCAGCCTGAAATGAAGATGGACAC